TTTTGAATGTATTTTGGTAACTATTTGGCTAATTTAGTGGTTAAATTATTGTATCTATTTGAAATTGTAACAGTATTAGTTTAATTGTATTTTGTGACAGCCCGTTTCCTGCTCCAACGTTTCGCGCGCACGTCGGCGCAGTTAAGTAGCGGCGTCGTTCCATACGTAAAAGGTGCATTGCCTATTGTGAATCAACCCGGTTTCGGGTTGAGTAAACTGGTTATTCACGGGACGCCACTGCTTTATCCTGCCCTGACATGCGTGTTAATTTTTTCCTATTGTACAGCGACTTGTATCTTTGTTACGTTGATTCATATCAGCAAATTCTGTGTACCGGTTGTACAATTAAACCATCCTTTACGATATTACTGAGCATTTCATTGTGTGCGAGTGGGTCTGGTATAATAAGTTGTACAGGGGACAATCCAGGCATCAGCTGGCTTATTTTCGATATTTCAATCAGTAGGGTGTCAAAGAACCCACAACACGAGGTGAAGGCGTGCCTATTATCACTTTGTGGTCGGATGCTAGCCTACCCCGTGACAAATGATAATTACCGGCTTCACATTTCATTTTAGCAAATAGTTACCAAGTGAGAAACAGATTTTTTGTTTAGCTTTTTGGAGTACAGCCTCACTAATGAGTAGAGAGGTCAGCTTTCTGGAGTAATGGCCTGGCTAATGGTGCAAGTGGTCAGCTTTGTAGACAACAGCCAGGCTAAATGTAGCAGTGGTCAGCTTTGTAGACAATAGACTGGCTAATACTGTGGGGGAATTGGTAAGCTTTTTGAACAACAGCCTCACTAACTGTAGTAGTGGTCAGCTTTTTGGACAACACCTTTGCTAACTGTAGGAGTGGTCAGCTTTTTGGACAACAGCCTGGCTAACTGTAGGACTGATCAGCTTTCTGAACAACAGCCTGGCTAACTGTGGGAGAAACCAGCTTTCTATTCAAAAACAGGCTGAATATATGAGTGGCCAGCTTTCTGGGCAACAGCCAGGCTAAATGTAGGAGTGGTCAGTTATCTGGACAACACCTTTGCTAACTGTGGGAGTGGTCAGCTTTTTGGACAACAGCCTGGCTAACTGTAGGACTGATCAGCTTTCTGAACAACAGCCTGGCTAACTGTGGGAGAAACCAGCTTTCTATTCAAAAACAGGCTGAATATATGAGTGGCCAGCTTTCTGGGCAACAGCCAGGCTAAATGTAGGAGTGGTCAGTTATCTGGACAACATACTGGCTTACTGTGGGAGTGGTCAGCTTTTTGGACAACAGTCTCTCTAACTGTAGGAGTGGCCATCTTTCTGGACAACAGCCTGGCTAACTTTGGGAATGGCCATCTTTCTATACAACAACCAGAGTGGCCAGCTTTCTGAACAACAGGCAGGCTAAATGTAGGAGTGGTCAGCTTTCTGGAGCCAATTCTAATATACTTAATCTATAACTACTAAAAACTAGGTGTAAAGGCAATGCTGGCAAACAAAAAATGTGATGGAATAACAAACATTGGGTGTTACAGCTGACACAAACATGTACATCACAGGAAGAAGACAATATCAGTGAACTGAAGTCATGACGAACACAACAAACAGACAATTTAACAACTATGAAACTAACACTGACAATAGACACCACTTATCAAATACATTGAAAATTCCACAAGACATTGCTGCTTATTTGTGATTATCGTATCACTTGATTTTAATCTCAACATCTCAAATTAAATTTTGAATCTGAAACAGTTTGTTTAGATGGAGTGGGGCTGATTAAAATATGAATTTTCTGCTACTATTATTTTAGTATGGAAACCTATACCTTGTTACTTCCAAGGTTCATCTCACTTCTTATGTAAATGATAGAGCCAACTCATAACATTATGGAGGCCATCACATGTTTTTACTTTTTATACTTATATTGAATTTAAGTCACTGTTTCAAGTACTACAAGAAGGTATTTTTTTTTTAAGAAATGCCTGCCTGCAAAAATGCATTTCGTATTCACATACAAGTAGCCTACAAGCTTTACTAAATTGCAGAGGTTTTTACATGGTCAGAATTTTTTTTATTTCAATGTACAGAAAATGTCATTTTTGTTTTATATATGCTTTTATTCATTTCTAATATGGTGCCACATTCCCTATATGCTAACTGAACATTGTATTTATGACATGGTAATTCAATATCACAAGAGCACATATTCACAGGTGTTAATTTCTCTAATAGAAACAATCATGTTTTTATTCATGTTATTTTTTTATTTTTTAAGATTAGTAAATTATACTTTTGAATAATCTGCAGTAATGTTTTGTACAAATAAATGACATACAATATGTACGGGAAAAGCTCAATCTGTCTCTGATATTCTATTATCACATTACAGAAATATTTTCAGTCAATCCTACATGAACAAAAGTTTTCCACTTAACATTAATGTGGGCACTACTCATCTGAGGTGGGAAAACTCACCTTAAATTCTCTGACAGACCCATCCACCTTATGTATACTAATTAACTAGATTTAGGGAAAAAAAGAAATAGAAAGAAAGAAAGAAAGAAAGAAAAATAATAAAGACGAATGAAGATAAATAGATAACAGAACAGAAGTAATGAAAGATTTCATTCAGTACAGCAAGTTTGAGACAGCACCCTCTAGTGTCAGCACAAATTTATAAAAATGCTTTAGTTTTGATGAATTGCAGCAAGCAACTAAAGATTGGAATTGTTGGATTTTGACAAAAAGAGTTTTTAGAGAAATACCAGTAAAATAATACAAGTATTTCATCTCAAACACACTGTACAGCTAACATTAGTGGAGATACAAGTCATTTGATTTTAACCTCTTTCCTACTCTGTTGTGTTAATATTAGTATTAACATACCTGCTGCATCATGCCAGGTTGCGTCTGCTGTATTAGTCCTTGTTGTACTTGCTGTGTTTGTTGAGGCACAAAAAACTGAGGTTGTACATTGGCTGCCATCTAAAGGGTAACCATAGCAATGCATGCGATCAATAACTAAGCTAGGTTAGGGGGGGTCAGGAGTGAGGAGCTCATACAGCATGCAAGTAAACAGGTTAATACTACATTGAATAAGTAAGTCAGAGGTACTTGCTATACCAATCCGTAAATGGCTTGTGGTACTCTGGAACAGCAGTCTGTCGGCAAAGCTGGATAGACTGGCTAAAGATAGACTGAATTAACAATATTTACACTATCTCCGAAATCCTGAGTAACCCAAGCTTGGATTCAGACAAGAACGGATATGTACCGATAATATGTCTGGCAAGCTGAGTTACAGACCACAACATTACAGATTACTGGGTAGTTCCAGTAGGCATAAAATACATTGCCTATACATCCGCCGCAAACACAATAGAAACATCTACAATGCATAATCAAATGATGCAAGGAATGTCCATATTTAGAAAACAAAGAACAGAAGACAATAGCTGCACACAGACAGAAAAGCATTGGATCCTGTAAGGTCTACAGATGGAATATGTGCTGAGAAACTGAAAACAATGGAATCATACAGAAAGTAAAGCATTGGATCCTGTTAGACCTACAGATGGAATATGTGCAGAGAAACTGAAAACAATGACATCATACAGTAAGCAAAGCATTGGATCCTGTTAGACCTACAGATGGAATATGTGCAGAGGAACTGAAGACAATGTCATCATACAGAAAGTAAAGCATTGGATCCTGCTAGGCCTACAGATGGAATACGTGTTGAGGAACTGAAAACAATGGCATCATACAGAAAGTAAAGCATTGGATCCTGTTAGGCCTACAGATGGAATATGTGTTGAGGAACTGAAAACAATGACATCATACAGAAAGTAAAGCATTGGATCCTGTTAGGCCAACAGATGGAATATGTGCAGAGGAACTGAAAACAAGTCATTGTCAATGACACGTCCCCGTTCCGTTCATATTTGAGTGACATATACATTCAAAGCAGATCATGACCAAAATGCACCTGCATATGTACAACACATTGTACTAAATCTGAACAAAATCCATCCATGCATGACTGAGATCTGGTTCCGGAATTGTGAAAATGCGTGATTTTAATGCATTTTCGGTCTTAAAATGGCCATCATTCAGCTATTGTTAAGCGGATCATGAAACAAATGCACATATCTATTTGTGACATGATGCACCATGTGTGTGTGAAGTTTGAACTTGATCAATCCAGACATGTCTCGGATACTGAT